TGATTGAAATACACTGCTGAGGGGAGCAGTGGGCAAAACAGGAGAGGTCTGCTGCACCATGTGGGTTAGCTCCCTGGCAGGGATCAAACTCATACTGCAGTGCCTGCAGATACCTTTATATGCCGTGCCTTAACCCCTTGTGCCACCAAGGAGGCCCCTATGTGTTTTCTTTTCGTTGAGTGATAAGAGCTTTTTGGAGATCTTTGATATCAGACCCTTGTCATATGCATGGTCTGCATTATTTTGTCACAATCAATAGAGCGTCTCTTAATTTTGGCTATAGTCTCTTTTGCTTTGCAGAAGATTTTCAGTTCGATGAAGTGCTAATTGTTTATAATCTCTTTTGTTTTCCTTGATGTTGGGGATGTAGCCACAAAGATATCTCTAATGTGTATGCCATGGAGTATTTTGCCTTTGTCCCCATGTATTTCTCCATGAACATATTATTGGAGAGTGAGGAGATGCAAGCTTCCATTTTCTTGGGATGAGCAATAGATACACAGTGTACTTCATTAGCATAAATCAAATTAGTTTGAAACTTTTAACTTTGATAAGCAAATAATAGTAAGTTATGTTAACTCTGTGGTATATGATAAATTCATTGCATGATACAATAACAACGAGAGATAACAATAACAATGGAAAAGAAAATTACTAATTTTTGAATGAAAAATATGTTTTGCCTAAAATATTTTTTTAAAGATTTATTTATTTTTATACAAGAATCAGGGTACAGGCCAGATTCATGGGAGGTTTCACCAGAGACAGAGCGGGGAATAGAACAGGCAGACTGACGAAATACACTGCTGAGGGGAGCAGCGGGCGGGACAGGAGAGGTCTGCTGTGCCATGTGGGATTCTTGCCGGCCGGCCAGGATGGAACCTGAGCTGCAGAGGGTGTGGACAGCCTCACAGTATGGCACTCAACCGCCTGCACCACCAGGGAAGCCCTTTTGCCTAAAATATTTTTATTATTTTTAAAATTTATATTATTTTAAAAATGTTTCTTTATCAGAATAAAGAGAAAATATGGTTACTCTTGATCAGCTTCTTTAATTCTTAAAAACTCAAATTAAAATTTTAATGTCTTTGATAGTACTTTGGTTGTTATTTTATATTCATAGAAGTTAATCACCATAGGATATTATTATTATTATATAAATTTCAATCATCTCAGTTTATCTACATATTCATTACAGAACTCCTTATTACAACTTAAATATTTTTTAGTTGAAAATCATTTTACTTCACTTCCCAGCTCCCTTTAGCTTCCTTTAGTGAAATAACTAGTGGAAAATTAGAAGGGGGTAAAATATCTTTATTTCACTGTTACTTGAGAGATCAGTTTGTCAGCTTTACCACCTGACAGAAAAGGTTGTACTTTTCTGAACGTGATATGCTTATAAGAATTCGCTATGGAAAGTTCTCAGGAAGACAATTTGAGATGCAGCAAAGAAGTTAAACTGCATTAGAGTTGCAAGAATTGTCTCAGCAAGACCATCAGGGGCTTTGATCTGAAAAGGTGATTATAATTGACTCTTACCTAAGCAAGAAAAAAAAAAAAATGTTTATTTGTCAACCAGGCTTTTCCTGGTGTGGTAGTGTAAATTTGGACATGGCTGCTAACTTTAGCAGGCATTTTCTATTTAGTCTCAAACATGTATTATTTGAATATGTGGGAGAATAAAAACTTCAGTCTTGCCACGAGGATCCCTTGGGACAATCTACCATCATTGTCTTCTGTATCTGTTGTTCAGTTGAGTTATCATCAACATGTTCTTTTTCTCTTTCTTTGAAGATAATAAAACTTTTTCTTAAGCTTTCTTTAATATTTTCTCTTAGCAGTTTTTCTTTGAGAATGAACTGTTTCTAATTATCTTTTAAGTTACAAACTTTAAACATCTTCTAAAGATTTAGCAACAATTTTGAAAGATTTTCTTTTTCTATTCATTTGCTCTTTTTAGAATCTCAATTGCCCAGTCATTAATATTTGTATAATGTGCCATATATTTCTGAAACTTCATTCTCAAATTTTCAGTTTTGCTTTTTCCTCTTTAGTATGAATATTTTCTAGGTACCTTTAAGTTGACTAATTCTCCCTTCAGTTGTGTCCAATATAAGGTAAATCTACTAAGTTCTGACTTTCATTATTTATTTGATTCTAGTGAAAGTCTCCACCATTTTTCCATCATATATGTGTTTTTAATTGAGTTATATATTGTACCTGAAAAATTATAGATCTGAATGATGTCTTTCCCAAAAATCAGTAATTCAGAGAAGAGTTTCTCTCAACTCTGGCAGACAAAATGAGACAAATTCATTTTGATTTAATTAAAAATAGGATTAATAGAATTATTGTAAAATTTGCCTTCTTTCACATTTGAATCATCTTATTTCTGAAAATGAAGTTACCAGAGGTCCTTATGGATGTTTGTTCTACTATAGAGAAAACTGTACTTTATATATAATCCCAAAGTGCTTACTAAATAAATGGAATCTATACCATTGAAAATCTCTAGGAATCATTTATTGGGTTTTTCTTGTTATTATCATATCAAACCAAAGTCATAGTTATATTTTAACAATTTTCATCTTTCTCAGATATTTTGGGATTGGAAGTATTTCTTCTGTCTTTGTATTTGAGACAAACTCAATAACAAACATCACACTTAGATAACTTCCCCAATATAATCGCTTACCTTTCAATCATTTCTCACAACACCTTTGCATAAAATGTGTTGTCATGGAAACGTTACTCCTTCTGTGTTAATACATGAGAGGAAGAAGGCCGCTTCCGATTGCATCATTGCATGAGTTCTTGAATCTTGTTTCCACTATATTTTGCCCTACTTCCCTCTTTAATTATATGTCTATGATTTAACTGGCTTTTTTAAATTAACATGTTTGGGCAGTTAACTTTGTTAAAATAATGTTATTTTAAAAAGAACCAAAGACTTTATGGATAAAATAAGTGTACTGTTTTTCTGTATCTGCAAACCCACTGGGTTTTCTCTGTTTTAGATTGGCTAGGGCTGCAAGGCTCAATATTTCAAAAGTTTAATGGGGGAAATACAGCTTCTTGAAGTACATATTGCTCCTCTTTTCTGAACTAGCAGAATGGATTTTTTCTAAGACATCTTATTTTCATAACAGAGGTGGAGTTTCAGGCCTCCATGGCTGCGCAGGAGTTAAAGACAGCCCTATCAAGCTATTGCTAGCCACCGCAGCACGAATTCGATTACTGGTCAGCAAGGGAAAAACCCACATGGGGCAGCAGAACTCTCCTGGTTCACCTGGTGCCCCCCTCAGCAGTGTATTTCAGTGTATTTCACTAAGAGTGCTCCCCACTCTTCTCTGGTGAATTCTCTCACCCTCTGAACAAATGGCTTACACTGCAGTCCTTGTATGCATAAATAAATAAATCTTTTAAAAAACAAAACAAAAAACAGAGGTGGAGTTTGGAGAAAGCAAGTATAAATGCATATGTTATAGATATATATTAATTTTGTAAATAATATTAGAAAGGCATTTATTTTTTTAAAGATTTATTTATTTATGCATACAAGAATGGGGTACACACCAGAGGTGCAGAGGGTGGGAGGATTCACCAGAGACAGAGCGGGGAATAGAACAGGCAGAATGACTGAGATACACCGCTGAGGGGAGCAGCGGGCAAGTCAGGAGAGGTCTGCTGAGCCATGTGGCTTGCTCCCTGACCGGGGATCAAATTCGTACTACAGCAGCTGCTGTCAACTTCTTAGATTGTGTCTCAACCCCTTGCACCACAAGGAAGGCCCTAAATTTTTGATTGTAATATTTTCTTCTTACATTTTTGTGAATTTTTGGATAATAAATGATTTCTCCCTTCAGGTATGGTCATTTTAATCGTTCTGCCACCAATGCACCCATAGTTTGTTACTAGATTCCTTGTGTATGTTTTATTTTTTTTATTTTTTTTTTTTGATTTGAGGAGGATGAGGAAGATGACAATTTATTTATTTTTTTTTAAATAATACATTTTATTTTTATATTCCCCATACAATTGCAAGGGCCTTGTGTATGTTTTAAACCCTGCTATCAAAACTGCCTTCTGATACAAATCTCATGGCTAGATTAAAGACTAAGAAATCAAGCTCCACTAATTTAATGGGAAGAACTAGGAAATTACAGCATTACAAAAGTTCTGGATTTCAGGAGGATTAAAGAATGGATATCAATAATGATATCAATAATGACTTCATTTCCCTCATCTATTTGAAGAAACTGGTACTACAACAGTGTTCAGGCAAACAAAGTACATTGGGACTCTAATTTTGCATTCTGGAAAGATTTTTTTTTTATATAATCCTTATTCCATGAAACTACAAGTTGTGCATTTTCATATAAAATGATATTAATAACTAGAGATGTCGATGCAGTAAAATTAGTAGAAAAATAACATACAACCTAAAGACATTTAAAATTTATCTTGAATAATGTGCAAAATATGCATATTTTCTCACTAATTGAAAGCCAGTTTCAAATAATGAGAAGATACAATAAATATATTATTATTAACCTCTTTAATGACTTGTTTTTCCCTACTGTCCCCCTAAGATACTCTCATTATCTTTTGTTGTCATTTTTCCTAAACATATGTTGTCAGTACCAGGCTTACACCAGCAGGAGGACCTGGGGTGGTGGTTGCTTCCGCCCAAAGATGAGTCACTTCCGCCCAAAGCGGAAGCTGATGCAAGAGTAACCGGATGTTGAAAATCAACGTAAAGCGCATGCGCAGGCTTTCCGAGCGCTAGCCGCTCCCCAAGAATAAAGAGAGTTCCAGCAGCCATCCATGTGAGTAGAAGCATCTTTTCATCCCCAGCCCCTCCGCAGTGTTCCTGAACCCCGTCGGCCTGCAGGCAGGACCAGCAATATGTTAAATTTCCAAAATTGCTGCTATGAAGTTTGAAATGAGAATGCATCTTTATCATGCTTAGCAATTGCATTTCTATTTTAGATGCTATCGCTTCTTGGCCTTTTGGCTAAGATCAAGTGTACTATTTTAGATGCTAATAGCCATATTATGCTCTTGTTTATTTCACTTCATTTGAAAGTCTTGAACATGACAACATTATTTTTTGTGCTTGTGTTTCTGTGTATGTGTGTCTGGACATGCCCTTCATTGTCTCATGTCCCACCAAACAATTATATCAAGGTTATCCTATGTGCGGGAAGTAATGTAAGCTGCTACAATTCATAGTGAAACAAAAGGTCATAAAACAGGGGATCCTCTTGAAGGTCTTGATCTCCCAACATAATTTCAGCAAAAAAAAACTATTGAAATTAGTTCTTTAGACAAATGTTATAAATCACTATGCGTTAGGAGTAACACAAATAATTCACTTTAATTGAATCACTCTTGAAAAGTAAATGAAAAAGATACTTTTTTATATAAAAATTAAAAAAAAATTAAGTCATGCTAACTTTGCGTTTCAAATATCCATGGTTTTTTACATTTAAAAATGTGCTTTTAGAAGGGCCCTGCCCCTATAGAATACATTATAGATTTTTTAAAAAAGATTTATTTTATTTATTTATACAAGCACTGGGTAGAGTCACAAGCATGGGAGGGTGAGAGAATTCACCAGAGCCAGAGCAGGAACAGAACAGGAAGACTGAGTGAAATACACTGCTGAGGGGATCAGTGGGCGGCAGGAGAGGTCTGCTCGCCATGTGGATGCCTCACCGGAGGCCGGGGATCGAACCGGTGCTGCAGAGGCCGCAGGCAGTTTTGCAGCCCAGTGCTCAACCACTGCGCCTCCAGGGGAGGCCCAGATTTTTCAAAACATATTAAAAATAGAACTGCCATATGACCCAGTAATTCCATTCTCTGTATCTAAAATAAGGATGCAAAAACACATATTTGAAGGGATATATGCATCCCTGTATTTATTGTAACACTATTTACAATACCCAAGATATGAAAACAATCTAAATGCCGAAAAACAGATAAATGGATCATGAAGATGTGCCATAACTACACAGAGCAGAATACTACTCAATGGTCAAAAATAAATAAATTCATGCCATTTGCAGCAACATATATAGAATAGAAGGGGATAATGCTAAATAAAACAAGTCACAAGAAGCCAGACAAATACTGGATAACTTCACTTCTTTTTTTGTTTGTTTTTGTTTTTTTTTTAGTTTTTTTAAAATTGATTATTTATTTATTTTTTTATCTAGGTATTTATTTATTTATTTATACAAGCACTGGGTACCATCAGAAGCGAGGGAGGGTGAGAGAATTCACCAGAGCCAGAGCGGGAAGCAAAACAGGCAGACTGACGAAGTAGACTGCTGAGGGGAGCAGCGGGTGGCAGGAGAGGTCTGCATGCCATGTGGACCCTCGCCTGGTGGCCAGGGATTGAACTGGCACTGCAGAGGCTGCGGGCAGCTTCGCAACCCAGTGCTCAACCGCTGCACCACCGGGGAGGCCCAGGATAACTTCACTTCTATGTGGACTATAGAAAAAAAACACAAAGAACAGATAAAACAAAACCAGTAATAAACCAGAGAAATCCGCTTGGAGTATTGAGGCTACCAGAGTGGGAGGAAATGGTGGTGAGTGAATTGTAAATAGTGTCTGATGTACTATGGCAGAGGACTATGGATACCTTGGTTGTGGATGGTTTGGTAACAAACCCCTGAAGTGTGTGATCCTAAACCTATGGATTACATGAAGTAAAATTCTGTAAAGCAAAATTTGCCTACTCAGTAAAAATAAGAATGTTCATTACTTATAGTTTAAATTCTGCATAACATTTTCACTGTATTCTGTCTCTGATATCCTTAGTTTCTTCAGTGTTATCTTCCCTCATTCAGATAGAGCAAACTGTAGAAGTTAATCTGGGAAGATGACCCAGTTGAATCATCTCTAACCATGATTTTATTTTGTTATATTAATTCAAGAATGAACACCTGTGCCTCCCTGGTGGTGCACAGGGTGAAGACACAGTCTATGAAGCTATCTGTAGCCACTGTAGCATGAGTTCCATGCACGGCCAGGGAGCTATCCACATGATGCTGCAGACCTCTTCTGACTAACCTGCTGCTGCACTTAGCAGTGATTTTCAGTCAATCCACCTGTTTTGTTCCTCACTGTCTCTGGTGAATCCTCTTAGCACCCACACACACACACCTCTGGCCGGTACCTCAGTTCTTCTATGCATACATAAATAAATCCCCCCGCAAAAAGGAATGAATAACTTACATTAGGGAAATATAATTGTTTGCCACTTTAATTGATTCTAATTACTTACATTTCTAAGAATTTTATGGAATTATTATTTCTAGTGTAAAAACTACAAAGATATGATTGAATTTCAACACAAACTACCACATGTAAACATGAATAGATTTGGTAAAGACATCAAATTTTCTGAACTAGAGCATATATGCAATATGCAATTTTATAATTAAATAAACAAAAAAAATGTGATGTAATGTTATTAACTTTAGATATTCCCTGGTGGCATAGGGGTGAAAGTCTCCATGCTATCAAGCTATCACCAGCCACAGCACATGAGTTCGATCCATGACCAATGAGCTAACACATATGGCACAGTAGACCTCTTCTGTTTCGCTCATTGCTCCCCTCATCAGGGAATTTCAGTAGATATTTCTGTTCTGCTCCCCTCTCTGTATCTGTTGAGTCCTCTCAACCCCTGAGTCTCCGGACTACACCTCAGTTCTTCTATGCATAAATAAATAAAATTAAAATCTTCAAATCTTAACAGAAAGGCTTTCACTTTTTCACCATGGAGAGTGATTATTAGCTATTATGCTCAGATATGTTCCTTTTACCCCAAGTTTTCCAAGGGCCTTCATCAAAAATGGATGTTGAACTTTATAAAGTGTTTTTTTCCTTTATATGGCATCAATAGATATGATCCTATTTTTTTATTTTCTTTTTGTTGATATGATGAATTACATTAATTATTTTTTAGATGTTAACCCACCCTTATGCCCTGGGAATAAATCACACTTGGTCTTAGTGTATACTTTTGATGCATTGTTGGATTCAGTTTGCTAAGTTTTTATTGAGAATTTTTGCCTCCATGTTCATTAAGGAGATAGGTCTATATGTATTTTTTTTTGTGTGTGTGTGTGTGTTGTCTTTATTTATTTTTGTATCAGAGTGATTTTGGCCTCATAAATATATTATAGTATTCCTTCTTTCTCAATTTTTTGCAGGATTGGCATTGGTTCATCTTTGAATGTTTGATAGAACTCACTTGTGAAACTATCCTACCCTGTGCTTTATTTCATTGGAGGGTTTTGATTACTGTTTCAATTTCCTTGCTTCTGATTGGTTTGTTCAAATTTTCTATTTCTTCTTTATTCATTCTTTAGTGATTCTAAAATTCTAAGTATGTGTTAATTTTTTAAAAGATTTATTTATTTATTTATACAAGCACAGGGTAGAGTCAGAAGCACTGGAGGGTGAGAAAATTCACCAGAGCCAGAGCAGGGAACAGAACAGGCAGACTAACTGAAATATGCTGCTGAGGGGAGCGGTGGGTGGCAGGAGAGGTCTGCGTGTCATGTTGGACCCTTGCCCGGTGGCCGGGGATCAAAACGGTGCTGCAGAGATTTCAGGCCACTTTGCAGCCCAGCACTCAACTGCTGTGCCGCCAGGGGAGGCCCAGAATGTGTCCATTTCATCTAGATTGTTGACCTTGTTTCCATGTAATTGTTCATAGTGACCTCTAAATATCCTCTGAATTTCTCTTGTGTCTAATTTCTCCTCTGGTGTTTATTAACTTACTGATTTAAGTTTTCTCCATTTTTTTCTTTGTGAGCCTGGTTAGAAGTTTGTGTATTTTTTGAAAGAACAAACTTTTGGTTTCATTGATTTTGGACTATATTAGTTTTATTTCATTTACTCTGCATTAATTTGTATCCATTACTTTTTTCTACTTTTTTTATTTATCTTGTTATTTTTCTTTTTTGTGGTTCCTTGAGATGGGAGACTAAGTTATTCATCTGGATTCTTTTTTCCTCCTTGATGTGAGCCTGCCTTTTTTTTTAAAGATTTATTTATTTTTATACAAGAGTTGGGGTATAAGCATGGGAGAGTGAGAAGATTCACCAGAGACAGAGTGGGGAGCAGAACAGGCAGACGACTGAAATACACTGCTGACAAGAGCAGCGGGCATGGCAGAAGAGGTCTGCTGTGCTGTGGGGGAATCTCCCTGGCCAACTGGGAATCCAACCTGTGCTGCAGAGGCTGTGGACAGCTTCACAACACTGCGCTCAACCCACTGTGCCACCGGGGAGGCCCTGAACCTGCATTTTTATATAATTTCTTTTTAATACTGCTTTTGCTGTGTCTTATAATTTCTGAAAGTTTATGTCCTCATTATCATTTTTTTCCTCATTTTATTTTTTTTTAATGTTTCCTTGATTCCCTTGCTAATCCAGTATTCTTCCTGTAGCATGTTGTTGAGTATCCACATAATGGGGGATCTTCTTGCCTTCTTCTTTGTTGCTGATTTTTAGTTTCATGCCTTTAGGATCCAAGAAGATGTTAGATAAGATTTTAATCTTTGTGAATTTGTTGATATATTTTTTGTCTCCCAGAATGTGGTTTATTCTGGAAAGTATCCCATGTGCACTTGAGAAAATTGTGTATTCAGTTTTGGGGGCATGCATTGTCATGTACCATCTGTTAGGCCTGTGTTGTCTAGATCTTAGTTTAGGACTATTGAGTCATTGTTAATTTTCTGTCTGGTTCATCTGTCCATTGGTGAGAATGAGGTTTTGATATCTCCTACCACATAAATGTTTTCTCCAATGTCTCTTTTCAAAGACAATTGTTACTTTCTAGTTTATTTTGTTACTCCCTCATTAGGTGAGTATATATTGATGTGTGTTATTGCTTTCTGGTGTCTTGTTCCCTTGATCATTATACAGTGTCCACCCATGTCTCTTGCCACTTTTTTTTCTGAAAGTCTATTTTATCTGATATAGGTATGATTCTCTTCCTTCTTTGGGTGCCTTTGCTTGTAGAACTGTTTTACAAGACTTTACTTTCAATATATGTTTGTCTCTGGAACTCAGGTGTGTTTCCTAGAGGCAGCGGAAATTTGGGTTCCATTTTCTAGTCCAACAAGTTACTCTCTCTTTTTATTGGTTAGTTTAGTCC